GGCCTTAGAAAGCTAAGTTTTGGTTTTGATCACTGTGATTTGAAGCTACTCAGCCCTGCAGTAGGCTCTCTCTGTTCTTTATGTGATGGAGAAAAACATGATGGGCTTTCGATGTGAAGAAAAGCGCAAGCCAGTTTCCCAGAGCTGAATGTGACTGAAATCTGGCCATCACCCCAGAACCATGCCATCGACAACATCAGCAAGGACTTCATCTTGCGAAACTGAAGGGAATGGGCACTTGTAGTAAGCTGGCAAAGTGGCCTCTGTTGAAGAGCCCTACATTTCTCTGTCATTGGCAGATGAGGCAGAAACAGCAGTACACAGCAGTGCTTAAAATACCTCTCAAACTCATTAATGAGCTGTTCTGATCAAGGAGTTTTTTTGTGGCTTCTTGTCCAATGCTTTCTGTCAGGCAAAAATGACACATTCTCAGTCAAGGCAGGCAGACCCTTGTGAATTCTCTTTTTTCTTTCTTTTTTTGAAAACAAGATAGGCTTGTTTTTTTCCCCTTCATTATTCTTTTGATATTAAAGATGTTAAAGATTCATGTAGTGGGCAGGAGAGGTGGATGGTTGGAAGTGCTGTCCAAGTGTAAGTTACACAAACAAAGCAAGAAGAGTCTTTCCTCTTTCAGCTGTAGCCAGCTCGGTGATTACTGGCAAAGATGAAAACATTGCTTGAGTATCTTGATATAATGGAGGGGGCTGAGGAAAAAAATCTAGTAGAATTCCTTACCTTAAAGCCCTAGAATTACAGAAGTGTTAGTAGAAAGGGGCTTCTAGAGGTTTTTCTGGTTGAAGCCATCACTGAAAGAACAGCCCATGTAGCTTTGAACTGATCCATTGATAACGACAGATAAAATCCTTGTGTTTGGTGAGGACAGTTGTTCATCCTCATTCCAAGAAAAGGAAGGACAAGTGCTTTAAAACAGCAGTGACAAAGTACATGGCAAACATATCTTTTACTGCTGAATTACAGTTTAATTTCAGTCTCCATAGATACCATGTGATACAATCCCTAGACCATAATCTTTAGACCATAAGAAAACAGAGGCACTGTACAGTTTATGCGAAGGGAAAAACAATAGAAAGAGGTTTCTAAAAAGTGAGAAGTTGACAAAATACATCTTCAAGTATGCTTTATTTGCAGGTGATTAAAAATATTTTTTAGGCAAAAAACTAGCCAATCTTACCCAATACATGATGGAACATGGTTTAGTGCCTAATGCCAGAGAGACTGGAAAATAGGTAGGTAGGGCTGATGATGCAGTTTTTGACAAGTTACGTGTGATTCCACGGCCAACGTTCTTATAGTAAAAAGACTTGATAGATACGTGTGAAAATTGTAAGCAGTTAATATTTTAACCGTAAGCAGGAGATATTTTGAGAAAAACAAGGGGTGTAAGGGCATGGGGAAGCTACAGACATCTTTAATATCAGAAGCCATAGATGTTTTTTGAAAGACATAAGCTTGTTCCTGCAAATCACTGCACTCTTGAGAATAGTATTTGCAATTTAAAACTTAACATCACCAAAAGGAAACAGTAATTCCTATTTAAAAAAAAAATATTTTGTATTAAGTATCTTTTAAAGAACTGAAGTATGGCATGGCCAAGAAACATGAATTACCCACCGTTTCAGAGACTTGGCATTCATCACATTTAAATACTAGGTGTCTGATTTCAGGAGGTCTCATGCAAAATCCAGCTATAAAAACTCACCACAGAATATTTTCAAGGATAAAAAGTTAATGTTTTTTAAAGCTCTGACAGACATCCAGTTGTGAAGGTGAATTTTAAAACTAATGGTCCATGTTTTCCAGAGGACATTCAAAAAGATAGTTGTTGAACTTTCTGTAAACGCCCAGCTCTTATCTACACTTTGCATGGAGTATTTACCACAGCCATAACTTTGGACAGTTAATGGAATATATCACTGCCTAGAGTCGTGCCAGAGGTAACATCATTGTCTTTCCAGAACTCCATAATGAGAATTAAATAATCACAAAACAAATTCCTATTATGAAATGACATTTTTTTCTTATGTACTATATATATTAGTTGGTATTGAATGTAAGTCCAGTAATACTGTCACAGTAATGTGCTGTAGTCGTCTTTCGTAGTGAGAAAACTGCCCTAATCATCTTTAACATGCAAAGCTTGGAAGAACCAGAAATTCACAGTAAGTAGTACAATTTGTAGATGCATCTTCTGCCGTCCTAAACTTAACCAGAACACTCAAGACTGTTGCTTATTTTTCCTATATGTTTGACAAAAGCTACAGTTCTGTATACTGTACATTCATGGTAGCGTCCCAGCCCCCTGTACCATCTGCAAGAAGGATCACATGACCACTTTCCATCAGAGTAAACATTCTAGTATTGAATATAATAATCTTGT